CCCCATATCTCCCCATATCTCCCCATATCTCCCCATATCTCCCCATATCTCCCCATATCTCCCCATATCTCCCCATATCTCCCCATATCTCCCCATATCTCCCCATATCTCCCCATATCTCCCCATATCTCCCCATATCTCCCCATATCTCCCCATATCTCCCCATATCTCCCCATATCTCCCCATATCTCCCCATATCTCCCCATATCTCCCCATATCTCCCCATATCTCCCCATATCTCCCCATATCTCCCCATATCTCCCCATATCTCCCCATATCTCCCCATATCTCCCCATATCTCCCCATATCTCCCCATATCTCCCCATATCTCCCCATATCTCCCCATATCTCCCCATATCTCCCCATATCTCCCCATATCTCCCCATATCTCCCCATATCTCCCCATATCTCCCCATATCTCCCCATATCTCCCCATATCTCCCCATATCTCCCCATATCTCCGCACCAGGCGGCGGCCACGCGCGGCGAGTGCACCATATCTCCCCATATCTCCCCATATCTCCCCATATCCGCACCACTCGTAGTCGGCCTGCGCCGCGAGCCGCCGCTCCACACACGGCGCCGCGGTGGACTGCTCGAGCTCGGCCTGGTCGTCCGAGGGCCAGAGCAGCGGCAGGTCGTGCTGCTCCACCTGCCAGCACGCCGACGAGAGCCACGGCGCGAGGCTGGACTGCTCACCGAGCCGCTCCTCGTTGAGCAGTGCGACGGCGATGAAGGAGTAGTCTGCGAGGTAAGGCTCGAACTCGACGAGGTAGGCGCCGAGGAGCTCAGAACGCAGGGCAGACTCGGCGGTGATGGCCAGCTCCTCCGGCACGCTGAGCAGCCGATCGCCCCGCCGCACCGCCCGAGCCGCAACGAGGCCGACGCCAAGCTGGGCCGCGTCGGCGGCCTGGACGACGGACACGTCGCCGCCCTGCGACGCGACCCACTCTGCGAGCGGCGGCACCGCGGCCACCCGGGTCGCGGTCGCGGGAGAGCTGGTGAGCGCGGCGTAGGCGAAAGAAGGGAGGAGCAGGAAAATCCCCACCATTTGCCCGGGTTTATCTCTTCACAGCCTTGTTACGGGGGGGACCGCTCCGCGCGCGCGCGGCGCGCGCGCGCGCGCCGCGCGCCGCTCGACCCCGCCGCCGCGCGCGCCCGCGCGCGCCAACCCTTTAGCGCAGCAACACCTTAAACTTCATGGCCCACCAAATTCGGGTCGGAGCGTAGCGGAGTGGGCCCCGAGTTTGAAAACACTCCCTTTGCTGCCACTCATAAAATCGTTGGGTCGCTTCAGTTCACGAAGTCCCCCCGTGGGCCGACCCTCCGATTTTATGAGAAGAGAACAAAGGGAGTGGTTTGAAAAAGGCGATGGACGCTTGCGTCCTAGCCTCCCACAACGCCTCCCCGGCGCAGAGGGGCCCCCGGAGGGACGCTCAACCGCCCCACGCCACGCCGCTTGCGTCGGTCCAATTCCACGCTCGCGGGGGCCAGTTCGAATATTTTTTTTGAGCTTAGCCTAAGCGCAGAACTGTGGAGGGTACGGTCGTCGTGGCTGCCAGCGCGACCCATGCTCCGGACGGCGCTGATACGCGCCTGCTGTCCGGGGCGCAGCCGCCCGCTGGCCACGCTCAGTGCGCGCCATCACAGCTCCCACCGCCACCTCGGCCGCTCCTGCCACCGCAGCCTCAGCACACTGGGCAGCATCATCCGCCGTGGCTGGGCGCCCCTCCCGGGCAGGGCACGTCTGCTGCTGCGGCGGCAGCTTCATCCGCTAACGCCGCAGGATTGGCGGCGGCGCAGCAGGCCGAATCGCTGCTCGGCTCGCGACAGACGTGGCAGACGCTGCTCGACCTCATCCCCGCCAACCTAGACCGCACCACCTGGCTGCCGCCGCGCGAGCTATTCCACTCGGCGACCGATCGGGGCATTCTCGTCGCCACCGCGTACAACCTGCGGCAGACATATGCAGTTTGTTGTGTGGAGCGCAAGCGCCGTGGCGGGCGCGCCATCATCCGCGACTTCCTGCGCCTCCTGCGCGCGACGGGCCAGAGTTTCATCGCCTCCGTCGACGAGTCGCTGCAGCTGCAGCAGCCGCCGGTGCCTCT